TCTCTTGCTCTCTTACTCTCTCGCTATCTTACTCTCTTGCTCTCTTGCTCTCTTACTCTCTCGCTATCTTACTCTCTTGCTCTCTTTCTCTCTTACTCTCTTGCTCTCTTACTCTCTTGCTCTCTTGCACACCCACATACCTATATACCTGCAAACCTACACACCTCCAGCAGTCTCTTACTCTCTTCCTCTCGTCTCGTTCGCCATTTTCAACTCTACGGCTACGCATGAACGGCCTCTCCAACGTTTCAGAAGAAGCTGAAGCTAGGCCAGCCTCGTCTCCTTGTCCGTGTCGACGATGCTGCGTTGGACACTTGGTGGCTTCAATGCTGGTCGCTGCCACTTCAGCCCTGCCTGGATGACAGAAAAGAGAAAACAAAAGATCAGGTTCGTCTTCTGCTCCCTTCCTTACAAGTAAGTGTTCAGGCATTCGTTGATGGATACATAAAGGCCTTGGACGAAATCTACGACGAGGCGAGGCGAACGGAGTCATCACTCCGTCTGATCGCGCTGCTGAGCGTCTGAAGACAGAATACATCCTCGAGATGAACCAGTAGGGGCTGGCTCATTGGAGAAGCGAAGGGAGTTCAAGAGCGTTCACACTGCATACAAGGTGCGAACCGTCCGCTCTACCATCCCAGTTGCAAGTGCTGACAGTACGGACAGACCGTGCCATCCATCCATCCATCCATCCATCCGTCGATGACTTACAAAGGCGATCGAGCGAGCGAACATATCGAACAGGTCGTCACAAGGGTTTGCAGCAAGTGTGCACACCGGGGGGGGGGGGTTGCAAACGACCAAGGGTTTTTGCCTGACAACGGAAAGTGGCCAGTGGCCAGTGGCCCCGGAAATGAATTCCGGCAACTACGCAAGTCCGCAATCAAGTTGGTGCACGACAGACGGCGGGCGAACGAGCGAGCGAGCGAGCGGTCGATCGATCAATCAAGCGAACATGGTCAACATGGTCAACATGGTCAACAAAACAAAGCACCGCACAGCGAGTCCAGCGGGTGAGCGAGTGAGCGAACACGATGAACATGGTCAACACAACAAAGCACAGTCAGTGGGTGGGCGAGTGGGCGAGTGGGCGAGTGGGCGAGTCTGCGTCTACGTCGCGAACAAAGTTGAAATTGTGGAAGTGTTCTCCGGCCCCCCGTCTGACCTGCTCAGCGCTCGGCGCCCAACTCAACTTGCCGACTGGGCTGTCTGCGCCGCCACACCACACACCCCACACACACACCACAGGGCCCTTTTCACCCCCAAGTCACTCAAGTCACTCACTGCACTCCAACAATTATGACTCATACATCATCCACCATCCAATCACAACCGACGCTTTTCGTCCAAGAATCAGTTTTTGTCGGCTGTGGGTCAAAAGGTTTGGCCACCAAACACTCAAACACACTCGAGGGCAGTCCAGCGCAATTAGTGCAGAGGGCAGAGGGCAGAGGGCAGAGGGCAGAGGGCAAGAGCGGCCGAGAGCACTCAACGACATTTTCTGGACGGAGGTCGCGCTTGAGGGAATCCAAAACTTTCTCAAAGTCGGTAATGGTGCGTACTATTGTTGAAAGGCCCGATTCCGAGGTATTTTTCTTGAGTGACTGTACTCCCTCAAAAGCGAAATCGAGGACTTTGACCAGTCGCTGATATGTCAAGTATGCTTTGAGGCCGTCCTTGTCGTCGAGCAGATCTTTCGCACATTTGGCAATGCTGTACATATTGTTCGAGCCCGCGGTAAGGATTTTGAGATTGTCGTCGTGGGAGAGGCCGTCCATTTCCGTGTTCCAAAAATTTTCCACCGAGTCAATAATGCTCTTCGAATGGGAACCAGCCATAATGATGAGAAGGATAATGAGAAGTGGTATAGAACACTCTCATCTCGACACCGGAGCACTTCTTCTTGTATACCGCTTACCGTCCATGGCTCATGTATGGGCATTATTCCATCGTGAAACAGCTCACGATCATGATCTGAGCACTCGCTTTGTTGAGGTGGTGGCCATGTTGAGGCATCCGCCCATCTCACAGCTCACGATCATTATCTGAGCAGCACTCGCTTTGTTGAAGTGGTGGTGGCTAGGCTGAGGCATCTGCCCATCTCACAGGTTCGACATGCAGAGCTTGAGTCAGGTCTTGAATATCCAGCGAAACGTTTTGTCCCAGAGTGATTTGACTCGGAAGTCGCGAAAGAAATGTTGAAACTTCTGGCCTCGCTCTCAGCCTTGGGGTTGAGAATCACCCCCTTAATCGTGGGGCTCGCCCGTTGGGTATAGATTTTACTCATCGTAGATGTGGGAAACTGTCGCACCCGTGATCTGTTCAAGTGAAATGTCTGAAGATCTGTTCAAGTGAAATGCCTGAGACCATTAATTTCCTTCCCGAAACATGGAAGACAACCTCAAGGGTACTACTACTGGTGGTGGGGAACTTTTTACTTTCCATTTGATCTGTCTTAACTGCGCAAAGACTATTTGATCTTTTAGGCTAACTTGACTCATTGGCGTCCATTGTGGAACCGACTTGTCTAGAGACACTGTTTCCCAATCAATCAGTGCCTGGATTTTGATTTGCAGCCTCGTGCGGCTTGCCCCTTCAAGGAAGCCGTCAACCATGCTGCAGCAGATGCGTAGAATCTCAATCAAGCGAAGGCACTGGGTGCCACACTGAGCCATGAACGTCCTTTCACCACCCCGTTTTCTGCAAGATAGCTCTGGAAGCTGGAGCGCGTTGCGTAGTGAACTTGTGGGGGCTTGGAGTTTCGAAACAGCGGTACCTGTGGAAGGCTGGAGAATTCAATAGTCGGCGGCGGATGATCTTCGTGGAAGAGAGAAACTGGTTCTTCAGACTTGTTGCCATCGAGGCCTGCGCCGCCGTCGAGCTCCTCCATTAGACCGAGGCCTTGGGGGAACCAAAGATCCTTTGTCCCCAGGCGGAATGCCTCGGCCGTCGCCATATCGTTCCCCTTCCCAAATGTCCAGCCTAGGCGTAGGGTTCGTTCTTTGTTCGTCTCATATTCGAATTCGGGCTCACCCCCCCAATCGTCATCTTCACCAAACCTCTCCCAGCCCCTGTAGCGATCCACCACCATCCAAAAGCTCTTGTCGATTGGATGGAAGACCAGATAAAATGGAGTATCAGGGCCGGGTGGCGTCTCCTTTCTTCCTATTTTCTTTTTCTTGATTTTCACTTTTCCCAGAGGAAGGCCGAACCGCAGAGGGAGAATACGTTCTTCGGTATGATCAGAGTCGTCGCGCTCTACTTGAAGAGCTGGGGTGAACTCATGAGTAAGGCCCATGAGCTTCTCATTCTTGGGGTTGAAGTAATAAGCAAGGCCCGTGAGCTCCCCCTTCTTGACATGTCTTTTGCCAGCTCTAGCTGCGCGGGCAGCGTTCATTGGGAGTATTCCATAATCCATGTCAAGGAAAAATTCGTGTGTTTGAGTCTGAAGGATAAGGAGCTCTGAATCTGGATACCGTGCCTTTCCCGCCATAAAATCGGTAAGAAATACGTCAAAAAACTTTTCGTTGTCTTGAGTGAAGTCGAACCGGTGAAGCCATTGAAGAAGTTCTTGGAAACAACCAGGCCAGTCCCCTGGAGTGATGTACCCGGAGTACGCCTTATTTAACCTCTGTAATATCCTTTCGTGCTCACGCGTTATCCTCTTCAATATCCTTTTGTGCTCACGTGTTGCCCTATAAATCATCACCCGGTGGCTGGGAGGAGGTATAATGCATTGCCAATACGCGGGTCTCCTATCTTTATACCACATATCCTTCAGTTGGGGCTCGTGAAGTTTGATCAAATTGAGATATTTGTAGTCAATGGAAGGTAAGATCGCTTCTTGTTCTTCCTTTGCTTTTTCTGTAGAAGCCATCGTGGGGTTTGACTCTCTCGCAGGACACGAGAAGCTTGTGGGCCGGGGGGGGGGGGGGGGGGGGGGTTGTTTCGGGAGACGATGATAATTTCGACTTGTAGCGTTGGGATCCGAATGGGGATTGAAGTGATCAAGGTATGTTTGGTGCCAAGAGGAGGTAAGAGTGAAGAGATTACAAACTTAGAGAAGTACAAGAGTCAAGATTCCACGAGCACGCGAAGACATTAGTAGTATATGTAGGCAATCAAACAAAGAGCTCGATCGAATTCCTGGAGTGCCGGATGCGTATGGTATGTGCGTTCCTCGAGATCAAAGGAAATGTTGTTCTTGGAGAACCGCATTCGGAGTGCACGTTCGTCGACCAACCATTTCGCATCTGTGATTCATTCAGCGGAGAGGGAGGTCTTTGTATCGCATCGAACCGAATCCGGAATGAGGTAGAGAACTGTGCGCTACGCCGCCACCACATTCCACAAATTCCATTCACCTTGAACACTCCAGCCTTTCTTGTTGTCCGGTGACCCGTCATCACGTCATGCCTCCACACCGCACATAGATTTATTGGCTGGGATAATATTATTCCGTTGCGGATATCCGAATATAGTATAGCTTATTTATCTATACTACTTTAGGATAGATTCTATAATATTACTAAGCGAGGAAAAGTCTAGTCACGTGTATCCACTTTTTCTCGAGTAGAATACGTACTAACTTAAAATAGTAGCTACCTAAGCCTAATTAGGATAAGCCTAAAGAATCGATTCCTGCCAACGCTGGTTCCACGCACACAGCTTTGTATAGCCTCGGGCTTCATCATACATTTTGGGCTCTATCCTACATTTTTGTAATAATCATAGTTCTCTCCAGGTCCATTCATGTTCAAACCACGGCTGCGTAGGTTTCGATGTTGCATTCATGCAGGAGTTAGCGCAAGGCAATCACAGCGTTGCATGCAGGAGAGCATAATCCCTCGTGAACACGCAGGTCTCCAATGTTGCATTTTTCAAAAGAGCACATCGCTGCTGACCGCATGTTCTCGCCAGTTCGGCTGCAATTTTCCCTAAACGATTTCGTTTTAACACTAGCGCTCAACAAAGGCTGTCCACACCGCTTCAGACTCCAGTACGGCAAAGATGTAGGTGAGGTGATTACAGGGATCGTCGACGATAGAGCTTATAATCCCTCACCAAGCAGGCATCATCTTGTGGCCATAAACTGTCACAGTCACCACCAATGGAGTAGAGCTTGAATTGTTGGTTGGCGTTTCGTGCTTTGTGATGGCGGCCAGATGCGCCGCCAATTTTGGCGGCTGATCGTCACTAGGGGTAACTCAAAACCGAGAATATTTCCTTGGGTTTCACGGTGGTCTGTCGTGGGCTGCTAGGCTTGAACGAGGTTGCGCTCAGAGAAGGGGCCTTGGAAAGGGGGAATGTCTTCGGACACTCAACTTGGCACTTAACCCGGCTCTGAATCGCTTCGGCAATAGCGGTCTTAGTATCTATGATTTGCAGAGCCCAACGCATAAAAAAAGGTACCTTCACAGCTTCCAACGTGCACGAACTTGCTCCGACTTGGCCTCCCATATGTCCGAGGCGCAGCCTACGGGAAAGGGAGCTTAGGTGAAAGAACAGCCTCGCTGGCAAGGCTGCATCACGTGATATGCTCCGTGCTCTGTCCCTCTGTGACCTGTCGAGCGCAGGGCATCAGACCACAGAGCACAATTGTCCTTGGCGCCGTACACCACTTCGAGGAGGCCCATGCAGCGGCTTGTTAACCTTCTGAGCGGGGTTTCTCGCACGTCTTCGCCGTCGCCAACCATGCAAAGTGTTTGCGCACAGGGATTGTATCGTCACCGCCGCCGCCGCCACCAGCCGTGGTGGCCGCGGATCTTTGGCTTGACGTCATTGTTCTTGTAAGTAGCTGGCACAGCTTGTGGCAGCTACCGAGTCCATATTCCACCACCAATTTATTTGCTTCCTGGGTGAACCACCATCAGCTGAAAGAGCTGGCAGACGCCGATAATGTGCCCTGGTCGCTCACACATACAACACTGGCAAACATGGGAGGCATAGATATTCGCTTTTCGGGCCCCAGTGACCGAGGTGTTTTAGGGGAGCAGTGCCAGCAGCCATCTGTTCCCGGAAGCCTTGCCTCTACCAAGGAAGCGACTAGCGTGATTGAGGAATGTAAGCGCGGAACAACGCCAAATCCGTTCGTGGGCCCAGCTGTCGAATGAAGACCGGCGTCGCGCTCCACATCTGCGTCGCTCTTATTAAGGTAACGAACGATCCTGATGCACTGCGCCCGTGTCAAACCCAGCCGCCTGCCCTCGGAGACCATGGGCAGCGTCGAAGGGCGCACCGCCAGTCTCCACAACTTCGGGAGTGACGACGACGACATTTGGTATTACTCCAAGCACAAACCACAACCTAAGCCACTTCAACGACTACGACGCCTGCCTGCACGCCATCTACGATGGGAGACGTCACCGCCCTCTATAATACAACCCAGACTTTCCGCAACACTTACACAGGAAGTTCAGCAGCAGTAAAAAGGGCGGAATGGCACCTCAAGATAGTGACCCATACTACGGTCGCCGACGAGTCCCAGGCACGAAAATTGCCGAACGCCCTCGCTGTTCGCACTTCTTGATCAATCTATGCTAACCATTGTTTTTCACTATCCGCCGCTGAGATCGCCAACGTGGCCCCTCTCGATACCGAAGTCATCGCGACGGGCTCTGCGAAGCGGCATACTGCAAGAATGAGCAGTTGCTGCTTGGGCAACTGAAGTGCCCGTTTCGCTCCTTTGGCCATGGCTTGAGTAGGGTGATCGTGCAGGAAGAGCCACGGACCTCACTCTCAACCATGAGACGCTGTGGGATATAGATGTCAGAGCTACTTCCTATGTAACCTAGATAAGCTAGGCTTCCTTAGTCATAGTGTGAGGGTTTGGAAAGTGTTCTGCAACTAGCTAGCTAACCTAGGAATAAGGAGGATAAATCTAAGGAGAGAGAAGGAAGGAATTGTTATCCTTCCTCTCTCCTTATATCCTTCGAGACACCGTAAGAAGGTAACTAGTATCCTTACCTCCTTACTCCTTCCTTACGTACTTATTCTAACTCCTGACCTTCCCTTACGTACTTATTCTAACCCCTTACCTCTAGTTCCCTTAACGTACGGTATCGAGCTTTGGCAGACACCGGCGAGGCCATAGATGCGCCCTCTTGGGCAAAAAACGCAACGGAACTTCAGCAAAGTGGTCCTGGGGAAAAGGAATAAATGACATGCGACCGTGCTCTCACTCTCGGACCTGCCTTCTTCGCTTCGGGTTGGTATTGTCGCTAATAGTCGTTGCAGCAGCTGCGGGGTGACGAAGAACACGTTATGGCGACGGTGGATCTCCCGCTGGACGCACTATTTGTAATGGTTGTGGCCTTTTACCTCACACACAACACGTCCGCGCTCTACGGGCCTAAAACCCTCGAGCATTTGGCCAAACTCAGCCGCCTGGTCCTGAAAGTTCCACGCCAGCGAAGTACGGCATCTCCGACCGCTTCAACAGTGTGTCGGCACCGGCACAAAGCCTGTGGCAGCCACAAGCATATCATATCGGGTACCGGAGCACACCACTGCCTGGTCTGGGGTTCGGGTTTTTGTGGGATGGACCTTTTGAATGCGAGGAGCGATGACGTCGCATCTTTTCGCGTCATCAACGAATTGAACGATCATGCTGGCATTAGTGAGACGGCAGAGCCCCAAGCCGCCGACAGAGACGAGTTGAAGAAGAAAAGGGACGCGATCATTGCCGCTCAGATTGTTCTCGTCCTCGCTTGCAGTGACATCCTCGTCGGCGGCTTCTGAGACACCACCATCTCGATCTGACAGTTCTGGGCTCCTCTTGCTCGAATTTGACGGGTTTTCGAAGCCGTCTTTTCAATGTCAACTTTAGATTTCAGTTTGGCGGCGACACCGTTTGTCTTTGGAGAATCTTTAGACTTGTTTTCGGAGGTAGATGTTCTCTTCTCCGTCTCTTGACCACAGGCAGATCGTCAGAATCACCGCCCTCCTCTTCTTCGCCCTCTAGCTTGTAGTTTGCTGCTTCGGGAATTGTGTCTCTCAAAGTCTTGTAGAGAAGTCCCAGCAGCAACCAAGATATCATCCTGGAACAATGGCAGGAGGTGTGTCGAGGTAGCTCAGACGCTGCCGGGCGAATCAGACACGAAAGGGCAGGACCTGCAGGACACAGGACACAGGAGACGGGAGACACAGGAGGCTTAGGGGGAGAAGAAGAAGAAGAAGTAGATGAATATGAAGCTTCCTCTTCCTGCGCGTTCTCCGAGGTTGGGTTCAGACTCCGAAATTGGGAGAAACGATCCGATCCGGTTTTGATTGAATCCATGGATGGATGCATGGATGGATAGATGAATGGGTGGATAGATGCGTGGATGGATAGATGCGTGGATGCATGGGCGAATGGATGAGTCCAGGAGTGGAAGCAGCAGCGGTACAAGGTGAGAAACCCTTGCCGAGATGAATGGAACGGGTGTGGAAGCTGTCCGTCCCGTGCAACCGTGATAAACAATGACTCGACCTGATCTTCTTGTTCGAACAGTGAGAGAGAGAGAGAGAGAGAGAGAGAGAGATCACCAGATATACCATATGATTTTGTCACTTCCCCAGACTTTACCAGCGAAAAAACGTGCCTAGAAGCGGGTCCGCCTCCCACGAAATGTTTCATCCGAGCTTTCATAAGCAGGTGTTGGTCGCTCAGTTCTTGCGAGGGTCACTTGGCGCTCCCCGAACGAGTACAATGAGGAAGAGAGCTCTCCACGAGTGGCGAAACGCGGGTGATGGAAGCGCCCTGTGGCTGAAAGGCCCGAGACTCCCTCGAGGTCGACGCGGCGGCAGCCTCATGCCGCTCCTGCTCCCTAATATCTTTGGCCCAGTAATTCGTGGACCTCGTCTACCACACTGCCTATCTCGGCCGTGTAAGGTGCAAAGGCCGTACCGTAGTGGAAGACGAATTTGAATAGGCCGAGGAGGGACGAGTTCCATAGCGCCGGAAAGGTGGGTATCGGGCACGGTTGGGAGATCGGAGAGTAGGTGTGCAGGTTTGTAAGGAACTACTGCAGCTCTGCAGCTCTGCACAGTGGGTGGGCGGGTGTGTCTGCGTCGAGAACAAAGTTCAAATTGTGGAAATGCCCTTCTTGCCTGCCCTGACTGCCCTGACTGCCTTCTCCCGCTGCACTGACTGCACCGTCTGTCTTCTGAGTGTCCAAGTTTCCTGCCTGCGCTACACCCCCTCCACTGTCGACCCAAAATCTGGCTTCTTTTGCTCCTCGAGTGTGTTTGTGGCCGTAGCCTTTGGGCTTATGGGCAAAAGGTTGCATACAATCCTGACTTCAGACCCCATCATTGATTCTACCTTACAGCTCTTGTCCACGCTCACCCGCCGCCTCGACAAACAGCTGGACACACGACGTACCACCCAGATCCATGGCCTCTTCAAAGAATAGCACAACGCACAACGCAAGGACCACGAAGCCATCAAAGTGGCCATCAAGGCAGTGACCGCCCCCAGCCAGGTCACAATACCAGCCGGAGCAGGACTCCTGCTCGCGCTGCCTCATGGGCACAGGTGGCAGCGACAGCTGGGCCGCTGCCTAGTCACGTAACGCCACCACATCCTGTCCTGTCACCCAGCACTGCCTCAACCCCAACAGCCTACCAAGGGCGCGAGCTCGTCGTGAAACTCCTTGACCATAGACGAGCCCAACAGATCCGACAACTCCCCCCCACCCAGGCTCAAGAATACGGCGAACAGCATTCTCCAAGAAGACCCCAAAGTGAAGAATGTCAAGATCGTGGCAGCACACCAGCTGAAGAGTGGGAATGTCGCAGTCATCACAGAGGAAGGAGATGGCGACACCTCCATATATGACAAACCGAAGCGTTCTCGCAAGAAGGAGACTGTTCAAGACAAAGATGGACAAGCCAAGAAGGAACCCAAGGCCAAAGGGAAAGCCAAAGGGAAAGCCAAAGGTCGCCGTCTCCTTACAAATGAGGCAGATGACGATAACGAACCTGTTCCAGATCTTTCTGACTCCGACGACGAGTATCCTGCACCCAAGAAACGCCGTCACAACAATAGCAAGTCGAAGAAGAAAGAAGCCGTGGCCAAAGCGTCTACGACCCTACCTGATGCAGCCATCTCTTCTGCCGTCTCGCCGATCCAGTCTCCAGGTGCAGACAAGAACGTTACTGTTAAGCTTGAGGAAGAAGAGCTGGCTGGCCCTGCTCATCGCACTCGCGGTATCAAGCGTGACTATTCTGTCATTGCGGCTCCTTCCGATAGTGACGCTGAATTCGATGAGGAAGTCCCGCCAAACATGGACGAAGACCTTGAAGGCGTTTATGGAGGCATTGGAATCGATGATGAGACTGCTCACAGTGGTACCATCACTGACGATATGGATGATATGGATGATATGGACGAAGCGTCAAGCGAAGTGTCAACTAACGCCACCGGATTCACGCCCCTATGCATAATCTGCAAAGGTTCCCACACGGCGTGGAGCTCCGCCTGCTCGGGCGAGATGGAAAGAAATAGCATAAGCCAATTGACACAGCCGAGCGAAGACGCGAGCTCCCGCCACCAACCGGACGCCGACTCGAGGATCTTAAGGAGGACGAGACAACGAACACGAGTCATCTGCCCTCCATGACAACTCAGACCTCGAGGCATGAACAGTCCTCGGTTATACTGCGGCGACAGCACCATCGACCTCGCCTTTGCAACATTCACATTGAGGGAACAACTTCTCGATTGAAAAATAGCCTACAACCCCGATAGTGACTCAGACCACCTCCATATCAACGTCGAATTCAATTGGCATTGGAAGCAAGCCAGCGTCCCCAAGACTCGGCAATGGGCGGCTACAGACACCGAGAAGCTCAGGACGAGGGTCCAGACTGCCATATGTCAGATTCAACCGACACTCCCTACCAACAGCGTCTATGACTCCATCGCCGGCCAAAACAGACGGCTCGGAACAGAAAGTGAACCTCCTACGGGCAGCGTTTCCCCTCTCCGGCATAGACCGACCTGAGCGACACACTTGACTTGACTTACCCAGAACCACACATCTTCCCTTCAATCACCGAGTCCGAAATCGAGAGAGCGATCTAGAAACAGCGCCGTGTAAGATGCCGGGACCAGATGGCATCACCAGCAGAATACTACGGAAGGTCCCAGACTTGATCCTGCCTACCTTACACCGCCTCTTCAATGCGAGCTTGCACATGGGTTACTTCCCACAACATCTCCGCCAATCAATCACAGCCGTACTGAGGAAACCAGGTACGGAAGACAATACTCAAGTGAAGGCATATCGACCTATCGCCCTCCTGAACATCACTGGCAAGGTGCTTGAAGCAGTCACCAGTCGACGTCTGATGTATCTGGCGGATCAACATCAACTCTTACCGAACACGCATTTCGGCGGACGGAAGATGGCATCCACGGAACACGCCCATCCACTAACTCCTGACTCGAATACACTAGGCATGGGATCAGAAGTACGTCGCAAGCAAGATAGCTCACAGAAAGGCGGAAGACAGGGCCAGCAAGCCATGGTTTAGTGTTTGCGACTTCCAAGTATATACTGGGTCACTTCACAAGGCGCCGCCGTCTCAAAAAGCCCGTCACCACCTCCGCTTCCCAGACATCACCATCACTCTAGCACAATCCTGTCGATACCTCGGCCTGCAGATGGACAACAGACTCAACTGGATGGGCCACATCTAACACATCCAAAATATCCAACAGAAGGCATCAACAAGCCTCGCTGCCTTGTCGACGCTGGCATCATCCACTTGGGGCACCAAAGTGGCTCCTCCTCCTCCTCTATGTCAAACGCCCTTCCCGACGTCTACAACCTTGCAGATATAATCCAATCGACTAAGCATCCTTTCCACCCACTATGCAACAACGTCTCAGCTCACGATTCATTTCAAATGAATCTCGGCGAACATGGCAGAAGGGAAAGGTGAGAACTACGACGGATACCGTTGCCGCGCGGGAACCCAAACGGTGCAACGGACGTTGGTACTGCTGGCCGGGACGGTAACCTTGCTCCTACTTCATGGCTGAATGCCAGGAAGGCAAACGGTGCAACTGACGTCGGTGCTGCTGGCTGGGACAACAACCCAACTCCCAGCCCTGCGCAGGCCTTTCTGGCTGGGGCCCCGCAGGGCGCACAGCGGGCTCAACCCACTTGTCCAGACTCGTCTGTTGACCGTTTCTTGTCGAGAGATCCTCGGCGGGTAGGCTTTGGTGTTGCCTCTGTTTCCCCCAAAAGTTGGGGGACTCGAGTAGCGAGCGGACTCGACCTCTACCGCACCGGTCTGGTGGACAGAGGGTGCCAACGCTGCCAGCGTCGGCTAAAGGACCCCAAGAGACAAGGTGTTGGGATCTAGCAGGACAGAACCGCCAACCAACCAGGCCAGGATGCTCAGCAAGGACTCCAGAGACAAGACGTTGTATCCAGGCCAGGACTGCAGTCCGCGGAGACCTCATACTACAGTCAAGACCTCGCCAGGACGATGGTTTGTGGCGAGATGCCGTTACACAAGGCAATGCGTTCGGTCGCAACTCGACCCGGCAATGCGGCCACCTCCTGTGCGAACTGTGCCTCTCGAAGGAGTGCTGTGAGTTGCGGGCGGCGGCTGGTCACGTCATTCCAGTCGACCAGCTTGAACTCTACGCGACCTCAGGAGCCTCCTGGCTCGGTGGCAGAAGACAGAATGCGGCTCGCCGTGGCCATCACCAAGACGGCCACCTGACAAGGGAGGGGACTCGGTCCTGGTTGCCACTCTAGGCAATGTGAGACGCGACATACCAAGATGGAATCCTTCCAGAGAGAGTCCGTCGCCAATCAGGTCCTGAGCTGTCAAACAATCGGGCATTGCGATTTTCCTGGCGGCCATCGAAAACTACCGACGCGCCGCCGGCCTTTGACAGAAGAAGACTGGGCTGCAGTGGGTTCTCCTGCGAGTAGTCGAGGAGGAGCTTCTTCACAATCTCAACGGCCGCGGCGTCGGCCATGTCGCCATTGGCGGCGTCCTGCGTGAAACTGGCAAAACTTGCCGCCGACGATTCTGACACCTCGTTCTTGAGTCCGTCGACGTTTCGTGCGCTAAACTACCGTGTGTTGAATTCTCTCCTCTCAAGACTTGATCAACATCCATCATCACCCGAGTCCACGCCCCTGCACCTTGCCTTTTTTGCACAATCGACAGAGATCGAGCAAATCGCCCACAGCACGCGCAAGCAGCCGCCCTAGTGATCAAACTTGGAGCAGACGGGCAACAGAGCGAGACTTTTCCCATCATCAACGTTCCTTCGAGACGTGGACTGGGCCATGAGCAGCCGCCCCAGTGATCAAACATAGACCAGACGGGTAACAGAACGAGAACACTCTTCTCCACCAGGCCCATAATCGTCGCTAGGTGCTCGCGGCGGTTAGGGTCGTCCAGGACGGACGGAAGATGCTGAAGCGAGTCTGATGGGCCGGCCGAGCGAAGGTTATCGGCTTCAGAGGTGGATTCGTCGTCGGACATGCAGATGGGATTCGATCTTGAGCGCGGGTGTTGGAGCTTCGGCCGCTTGCCGGCGGTCTCTTAAGCTGCCCATTCCTCCGGCTTCAACCTCCTTGCAGGTTGCAGTGATCGCAAGGAGGCTGCTCAGCTGCATCGTCTACTATCAGGGCTCTCCTGACGTCAAATTGAGCATGATTTTGGTCGTGAATGGGTGGTATGACAGATGATAGTCAAACACACTTTGAGTCTACGCACACTGGGCAGGCCCATGGCGCCGTATCCCAGCCATTCTTCGGGCTTGTCCACCTATCATCTGTGTTTCGGAGACTTTTGCTGTCTTGCAAGAGAGCAGGTTTGGAGGGTTGTAAGTGAGGAAGTTTGAAGAGCAAGTTTACAAGACAAAGAGAGCAAGTTTGTAGGTTTGCAAGCTGGGCTGCTGGGAGATTTCCAAGTTTTGTAGATTTGCAAGGGTTTGCAGCAAGTGTGCATAACAGGTGCAAACGGCCCAAGTGTTTCCCTGACAGAAGTTCAAGTGCAAAGTCCGCCAAGGGAATGAATGGGCGACCAATCTCGCCTGGTATGTATCTCCCTTCCACTGGGCCTCTTCTCCCATCACCATACACTACCACACACCTAAAGCTGATCCAACTCGCTTGCGCGCCAGACCTACGAACCCTTCTATCGACGATAAACTGACGGGAACCGCAACGAGGTACGATGGAGTCCCTTGACGATGCCGTCGACCACACTGTGGACGGCGAACATTCTTTCATCGACACGCGAAACCCTCAGACACCCAAGCCCGACCAGATCCGGAAGCCGTCCATGCCGCCAACCAGCGAGGCCGATACCTATCCTGCTCCCCCACCAAATTCGCCTATCGCCTTCGGTGTCGAGGTGGCCGGTGTGAGCCAGAAACGTCCTCGATCCCCCAACAGCCAGAAGGAGGCGGACAACCCAAAGAAGGCAAAGTGCGACGAGGGGCCTGTTGACGCCGTGGAAGTTGTGATGCATAGTCTGTCGCAGTGGAGCATCGAACAATCTTCAACCTTCGTCCATTGCGACCTGCCTATCCCCAGGGGTAGCACCCAAAAAAAATCGTCAACATGATCAAAGGCATCCAGTTCTTCGTCGAACAATTTCATTCGCTACTGGGGAGAAGAAGGGGGGGGGCGCTGTCCATCGAGACCTCGCTCTTTCCACAATACACTATGCCGAAGGACTTGCACGAGAGACCTAGCGGCAGAAGTTGAGGCTGTATGATGTCCTCTAACAGTTGCATTCTGCAACCGACATTGAAGTGCTGCCAACTCTGCGAAATGATGTGGGGGAAATTTCGGAGAATCCTGTCGGCACTGTGCCTCGAGGAGATCGTCGTGCTGCCGAAGCTGCTGACACTGACGGATATGGTCAAAGGAGGGCAGAATCAACATGAGATCGTGTCAGTGGCGATCGAGGCGCTGTCCCTCTTGCAGATTCCCGATGAGGACGACTAAGGAAATCACGTCGGAGTGGGATGCACCTTGATTGCAACATGAGAAAGATGGCCACCACCGAGGGCGAGGTGCGCCCAACGCCCTTGAGCCTCCAGCTCCACCCACACACTGTTCTACAAGCCCCTTGCGTTCTCGCTGTTGGACCTGCGCTACGGCAACCCCCTACGGCATCAAAACCAGCATCTACAGCAGCGGAGTCCTCTCTCAGCATCGACGGCCTGGGAGGGAGCGACATCGAGAGCGCCTCCGAATCGGACGACACAGGGCGGGGACTCAACAAGGCGGATACATGGAGCTCCACTTTTTCCATGAACACGCTCCCGAAGTCCGACTTCGTTTTTGGCCACATCGAGACGTGCGAAGACGCAGTGGAGCACCCCAGGTCTGGGGCAGAGTTCTTCATGGGAGACTTCATCTCCGACTCTCTCCACAACGGGCCAGCTCCTGGGCGAATTTCGCGACGGAGTGGAAGGGGTCGCGGAAGCTATGCAGATAAAAGCGACCTGGACGTTCGATATCGAGGCCAGATGCGAGCTCGGCCGCGTCCGTCTTTGCCTCATCTACCTCATGTGGTACGACATCGTCAAGTTAGTCAGGCCCAATATAACTGGCAAACGGCTCGGCGCCATAGTCCGACAAGACATGCGGCCCGTGCTCGCAGCCATCTACGGCGACAATATCGACGTGGTATGGAGCCACAAAATCACGCAGATTCAGATAGTAATCAAAACAAGGCTCTCGCCGAAGATGCAAGCATCCCGGTCGCAGCAGGAGAACCCGCCCAAAGTCAAGAAGAAAGTCAGGCTTGAAAAGCTGAAATATCGGATACACCCCAAAACTATGTGACGGCCAAGGTGAGGAGGACGAAGCTTATGAACAAGCGCAAGATGACCACAGTGATGAGGCTCCCGAATTGCCACAACAACATCTGGAACTTGAGGTTGAAGATGGCAATTATGCTCTCTCCCTTGAGGAAGGCAGTCGACCCGGGGCCGAAGCTCAGGCAAAGACCGCAACAAGTGAACCCAGATGGACAGGGTCCTCCGAATGGTGATATAGAGTTGCAAGCTGGGTTACCTACTAAACACGTTCTGCCAACGCTACGGCGAATCTTCAGTCTTCATCCTTTAAAGCAAACTTTCCAACAAGTTGTGAGTCAACCTCGCCCGCCGCGCGATCGCCTCGCTCATCGCTGTGTTAGCATTTCCAATAGATTTAGCAAGTCGGGGGCAGCTTTCGAAGGTGCAATACGACACTTGGACGCGCTCGGATTGAGGGAAAAGGCCAGGGGAAACGGGATCGATGAGATCGGGCGGGATTGTCGACGGCTGCTCAGCGAGGTATTCACGAGTCACTTCACAGCCTACATCGATAACAACACTCGCCCCCAGACTGACGGAGTGAACCAAAGCACGTCACCTGTCGCAGCACGAGCCGTCAATCAGAGCTGGGGCGATGGTGGCGAGCCAGGTATGCCTGGCAAGGGATGCAAAACTCACTCGCCCTCTCTAAGCGTCCGTCGACTTCCGCTTCCACGTCCAGCACCGTCACTACTACGAAGACGCCCTGCGCTCCAAACTCGACCGACGGGCGCTGTATCTGGTAGAGTCGGAAGGGAGCGCCTTCACACCTCGTCAAAAGCCGGTCCACACGAGCTGATCATCGCCACTACCATCGGCAGCTATGTGGGCTGAGTCCGAGCGTATCTTGGGCGGGCAGGTGCATGGTACGAATGTGCAGATGGGGCAGTTCAAAGGCATAGGGGATCCTGTTGACCGACGGTCTGGTTTGGGCACGAATCATAGTCGACGAGGCTCACCTAACCCGGAACATCGAGTCAAAATCTACCGGATCTTTAATTAACTGAGCAACAATGGGTGGCATTTACCTAAATACGTCGCCGTGACGGCCATTCCCGGTCGATCAAGACCTTCGTGAGGCCCTGCACCGCCGCGAGCACCGTCACGTTGAAGCTCTCGCTCGCCGGCGTCCCCGCGTTTCTGGAGTCCAAGCAACCACTTCTCCGAATCAAGCAGAACGAAACCGCGCAGAACTTCTTCTCTCGTTCTTGCAAGCAATATCACAGCTTCGTCTACGGAAACTAGAAGTCAGCGGCACAGCTTCAGGACATTGGGATATCCATTTCAACCCCGTCAAACAACAATTCATCCTGTCGGAATGAGGACACGATACACTCACACGCAATATATCTCCCACCCGCCCTTCTCGACCTTGGCTTGCTGTTTGTTGGGTGCAGCTGCGAAACGGCGTCGAGGACACGATCACGCTGGTGAGGATGATCCAGCTGGTTTCCCCCAATATCGCGCAGCATCCCGACTGTGGGTACCGGAGACGGTACGTGAGCGAGGAGATGGCCGCGTTTGGATACAAGCACGTCGAGAGGAGGAATTTGACCGCGGACGGGATGAAGAGCCTAGCCAGGGACAATGCGAACTTGAGGAAGGGACACATGATCCAACGGCACGACCGACCCATCCAAAATGGTAAGCAACTCGCCTGGGTACCTCCCTTCGACCGACTCGATGAGATGTTGCGTCAGAGGGGCGAGCTCCGAACATTCAAGTCTATCATCACGAATTTGGCCCAGGACATAACGTACCAACCGGAAAAGCCGGTCGTCGTCACGGAATTCCCCATTATCTGTCTCTGCGTTAAGGCGGTAGGTGATCTATACATTATGTCGACGGATCGGGCCATCCTAACGTTCTCACCAACTCGTCCCGGGGACCAAATTACCAGATGATCAGTATCAGCCATCTTTCAGGAGTTGTTGCCCCGTTGTCAGTCACGATGTGTACGCATATACGGCTTACCCTCCCGCTGATCATTCGATATCCATCAGCTGCGGTGCCGTGGAAAGCTAGGACACGCGAGGCTGTAAGGCTCCGCTGCTCTTGGTGACACAGCAGCATACCACACGCTGGTAGAGCGTCGGGTCTTGCCACCAATTTGTGTCACCCACTGACCGACTTCCTCGTCCCAAAACCCTCCGGCACACTTTGCCTGGACCATACGCTAGGATACAGCACCCATCATCCTGGCCCGCCATTTTATCCTGCATCTGTTGTCCGCGAGGCGCGAGGCTACCTTCATGATCACGTCCTCTGGTCTCGGGTTGTTGCCGATGGGCCCATTCCCCACCTCCTGTCCCACGAAAGGTGCCGTGCACGCCTTCCTAGGTGGGATTCCGGGAGAGCCTTGACGGAATCAACGTCAACGTCATTGAAAACACCCAGCCGTACGTGCGAAGCACACCGACCTCGACGCTGAGAACCGATTGGACAAGTGGTGACGCCCATGGAGTTCTCCAGACTCTCTGTATCGTGGCAAACGATCATCACAGACGGGACGAGGAGTACGCCACGACCCAAGCTCGCGATATGAGGCGTTTACCGTCTCTGATTGTCTGTCCACCGACGCTCTCGGGCCATTGGCAACAGGAGATCCAGCAATACGCACCGTTTTGGAACTGTGTGGCGTACGTGGGACCAGCCATCGGACAGAATCAGCCGGCGTCCTTGACTCGAAAAAGCAGATGTTGTCATAACTTCCTCCGATGTGTGCAGAAACGATGCCGACGATCCCACCAAGCCGCATCCAAGGTATTCCGGCTACATGTCATACCTGGGGAAGCTGGGGGAATGTCCGTTGCTTCCATTACACTGATTATCAACGATGAGAATCTCACCTTTGCTGCAACCTCGGCCGAATTTTCCCATTCGATAGGTCACTACTGGTAGGAATCGAAAGCAGGGAGTCCCACGCTTCGATCGCATGGACAAGAGTCCAATGTATGCAACAAGATCCATAAAACTGAGGCTCCCGGATGAACAACGATCGTACTACACAAATGAATCATCACTTGGCTCTGCATATCAGACGGAACTTCAACTTTCCTAAACTCCCGGCTTTCACGCTCAGCTTTCTAAAGACCAATCTATATTTCACCTCGCTCGCCTCCATCGCAATCAGACCTCGATCTTGCCCCCCTGTCAATACCTGACTACCATCGTCGAGTGTGCTACGACATCAGTGGTCGAGGGCTTATTCTTAAGCCGGTCGACCGCCTCCGCGACGACAAATGCCAGCCGAAGTCTCTCCTAGTTTATAGAAAAGCCCTGCCTGGGAATGCGAACCTGATAGGACCCCCACCTCTCTTTTCCTTTACTGCTCTCACGCTATTTCGCCAGGCCCCCCGGCATTCGAGACGGCGCCTAGCGTCCTTGAGCCAGCAGCGACTGCTGAAAAGGTGGTTGCGCTCGCTTCCCTCACCCTCGCGTGATGTTGGAGGGGGCTTTTGTGGATTTGGGTGGGAAGGCGTGCGTCCGGTTGTCCGGCGAGGCGTCGGGTGACCTTGGACAACAGCCAGAAGGAGGCGGACAACCCAAAGAAGGCAAAGTGCGACGAGGGGCTTGCGGACGCCGTGGACGTTGTGACGCGCAGTCTGTCGCAATCGAGCATCGAACCATTTGCAACATTCGTCCATTGCGACCTGCCTATCCCCAGGGGTAGCACCAAAAACACGTCCATGTCCTCCGTGTGATAAGCTGGCCAGAGAAGACTTCCAGAATTGCAACTTTGGGCACTCAGGCACTCCTGAACTTTGAACTTTTCCCTGGCACCCAGCTCTCAGCGCTCAGCTCTCAGCTCTCAGCAGCACACTCGCAGAACTGGAACTTGATTCTCGATGCAGACTCGCTAGCTCACCCACTGCCACTGCGCCATACTGTGTTTTGTTTTGTTGGTCCTGTTCACCATGTTCGCTCGCTCGCTTTTGCGACACAAGAACGGATGAGATGTTGTTGAAGCTCGACCGTGCCACCCGCCGCATGTCTTGTCGCCCACTTGATTCCGTGCTTGCGTGGTTGCGGGCGTGTCGGAATTGAATTCCGTAGACTTGGGCGTGGGCGTGGGCGTGGTTGTGGGAGTTGATTTCCGCGGGCGTCGGCGTCGGCGTGGCCACTTGAACTTGAACTTTTGTCAGGGGAGAACAAAAACTTGGGCCTGTTTGCACCCACTCGCAGGACTGGACTTGACTTTGTTCGTCACTCACTCGCTGGGCTCACTGGGCTCGCTATGCTGTGTTTTGTTCACCATGTTGACCATGTTCGCTTGATTGATCGATCGACCGCTCGCTCGCTTGTTCGCCCGCCATCTGTCGTGCACCAGCTTGATTGTGGATTTGCGTAGTTGTCGGAATTCATGTCCGGGGCCACTGGCCACTGGCCACTTTCCGTTGTCAGGCAAAAACCCTTGGTCGTTTGCAAGCCCCCAGATTGCGCATATTTGAGTGCAAAGTCCGCCAAGGGAATGGATTGAGGAGGGTGTTGTGTAGTGGCAGCGGTCTCACTCCGACAACAACGGGTGGTCTTGTTGCAGGTGGACGGCGACCCCAATACGTCAGATTGGCCATTGAGCTATTGCATTGGGTGCCTGTTCTGGGAATCCACGCTTCGCTGCGGTGGCTTCGTCGGGCGTTTCAAGCTGGATGCCGTCAAATGGACTCGATGACCGGGCTCAGGTGGCGTCCTTGAGCCGGGGTGCTGGAGCCAGCGTCTTCCCTGGGGTTGGCCTTTGCTTTGTCAGTACGGCGCAAAACAAGGAGAAACTCGAGACGAGGAAACGAACTTGGTAGTGGGTACCACCCTGGATCGCAGTCCGACGGAGACTGGTCTTGACCGGCATCACTGAACCTCCTCTTGGCTGTAGGACACCCGTATCGATCTGGATGAAAGCCCATGGCTCCGCGCCGCGCCGCTTGGAGAGGAAAAGCAAGGGGTAAGCTACTGCAGTTGCAGCCACAAGTTATGATGTTTAAGTCGTTGGCGTTGAGGTACTTCTCGAGGGGCATAATCTGCAATGCATAGGTATCCAGCAGATATAGCGACATCTCCATCAAGGATGGCCATTTGGCCACCGTAGTAATAGTCGAAGCAGCAGGCGGCGGCGCCCTTGGTATGGAAGAATTTTTTCCTTCGAACGTTAAAACCGCCGGTCGGACCAGGATTGTTGGGGGGAGTAAGTTTGGAAGAGAGCAGGTTTGTAGGTTTGCAAGCTGGAGGATTTGCAGTTTTGCAGTTTTGCAAGGGGGCATGTGAGTTGTGCACAACGGAGTGCAAACGGCCCAAGTCAAGTGGAGAGGCCACGCCCACGGAATTCCCACAAGCACGCAATCAAGTTGGCTGCAAGACGTGAGCGAGTGGGTGGGTGAGTGAGTCTGCGTCGAGCACAAAGTCCAATTCCAAGGGGGGCGCTGCTGAGTGCTGAGTGCTGGGGTAGTTTGCGTTGCACTGGCTGCGGTACACTGACTGACTGCGCTGCGATTCTGTGCGGAACCTTTGGGCTGAGCAGGTAGAGCAGGGCATAATATACCAACGCAGAGCAGGCATCGCAGGCTGGGCGAGAGCGCACCGAGGCCGGATGTAGGGTGCTGATATGTTGAGGGGACTTGGATCGAAAAGACACCCACTCTATCGCCTCGTCGTTGATGCAACATCATGGTAGATTCATTCGCCTCCCACTTGATATCCTTCTCTTTTACAGCGCTCGAATCCGGCTCGCCGTAGAATAGGGTAGACCAGAGTGAGCAGGCCGAGCAGGCTGAGGTGGCAGGCTGAGTAGAAGAGGGTGCCAACGCTACCGGCGTCGGCCAAAGGGCCTTCGAGTGTGCTTTATGGCCAAATCCTCATCTGCACCGACATGCCGAGTCCCCTTTTCACGGCGCTCCCCACCCACATGGTGCCCTGCGGCCAAGCAGATCATTATGCTCTCCTCGCCCATATTCCACTTGTCCTTGCAGTTCATGAACCTACGCGGGTAGTTGTTCCTGAACGAGAACCTGTCCATTGCCTGCCTATCATCATGACCGTGCACCCGCCGCTGTTCACCCTTCGTCAACCACGACCCGTTCGTGAACAGGTTTCTGTACATCGGCATGTACATCGATACCTCCGCCCTTGTCGGCCCCTCCCTGTACGTGCGTATGTTTTTGAACGTGATCAGGTACATTCTCCCCCTGCGCCGCTGACATTCAGGCCCAGGGGGTTTTTTGACGGCCCCGAAGCCGCCTGACCTTCTGGACCATCTAAGCCCGCAAGTTCTCTCCTCCCACGAGAAAGGCCAAGACACCCACAACCAAGGATATCACACCCGTGACCACCACGCATTGCATGGGGGTGGTCCAGGATGATGGTGATGCTGCCTATAGGATCGAGGTCTCCGTCTCCGCGAAGGGTCTCTTTTGCTCCGTGGTCCCGGGTGCGACTGGCATCGACGACTCTCCCGTCAGGGAGTACGTGCATACCGATCGTCTTGCTGGCGAGATGGAGCACATTTCGGGCTCAGGATGTGATGCTGTAGTAGACCATGGTTGGGGTGATAGCGTCAAGAGGCTTGATGTGCAATCAAAGGCGGCCATGGAGAGCGAGGTCGGTGATCGAGGTTTCCTCCGTTCTCGATAGCATCCAAGATGCATTCTCTATAATTCCTTTCTCTTCTTGAACTCCACCACCCGTGTGATCTGGGAACTCGTGGGCCCGTCAGATCCAGCTCTTCTTCCAAAGCAAGTAGGCACGGCGGAGGAGGTATCGGTTCGACGGACCGACAGTCACGTCGTTCAGGGAGATTCTTCGAGGGACAACGTGCATTGTAGGTCGGAAGTTCGACCAGGACTTGATATATTCTCAATATCTCGTGGGGCTTCCATGAAGCCAACATGACTGCTGCGCGAGGGGTGGCAGCGCAGTCAGTGAGTGAAGGGGCAGTGAGTGCAGCGAGTGCAGAGAGTTGGGCACTGAGGCACCCAGTAGGCCAGAGGGCACTTCTGGAGTTTCGAGACTCGCTCACTCGCCTTCGCAAGCTATCGATGGATGGGATAAGATGTTGTTCAAGCTCGACCGTGCCACCCGCCGCATGTCTTGCAGCCAACTTGATTGCGTGCTTGTGTGCTTGCGTACTTATCGGAATTCTGAGGGCGTGGGCGTAGGCGTGGCTACTTGAACTTGAACTTGAACTTTTGTCTGGGGGAAGGGGGGAGAGGGGGTCAAAACACTTGAGATGTGTGCACCCTATCACGTGTACCAAGCCCTACTACAACTGCACATGGGACAGGCTCGAGGGCGATGCCGCCTTCTTTTTGAAGTTACAACTTATATTCTCTCACCACCGAAACTTCTATTGTCACATACACCGCCATGAGCTTCCGCATGAGCTTGTGAAAGAAAAAAAACAAGAAAAACAAAAATCGCAGTGCTGCAGCGTCCTCAGGGACTTTGGACTTGCGTCCCCTCTCGGCCTCTAAACCGCGTCTTGTCGTGATATCACTTCCCCACTTCCTGAGACTTGCCAACAGATGAACGACGCACTTGGGGTTAGGAGCAGATGGTCTTTGCTACGTCGACTTCTTGCCTCTATACAGAAGAAGAGTCCTCAACACGTAGGTCTCATCGAAAGAGTTAGATATCCTTAAAATGCCTAAGAACTAATGAAGGGGTCACAAAAGGGCACAGCCGTCACAGCCGTCACAGCCGACACAGCAGAGCAACAAAACCATTATGACCACAATCCGCTCCTCGATCTTCCCAACGAGCTAGTCCTCACGGTTGCGAGCTTTCTGGACCAGGAGTCTCAGCTCCTGCTGAGCCTCTCGTGTCGACGACTTCGTGTTCTTCTCAACTCCCACCTCGACATGGCGCTTGGTGATGATAGGGCCACCAAGGTGCGGTTTCTACAACTTCTGGAATTCTTCCAGTACGATTGTCCGCGTGCCAACCACCACCTGGTTGCGGATATACTAGTATCATGCGGTCAGTTTATCCAAGCAGGAGACAAGAAATATGTCTGGGTGAGGCGTGGAGTGGTCGACCTGATCTTACGAGCCTACGAGCATGGGCCCCCTCACGGCTTACCTGTATCTTTCTTGAACATGAGCGGTCATGATCACCACGGCGTTTCTCGAACGAACGAGGCACGGTTGGTGGACGGTCAACTTATACTGGCCAGTCGAATGGAGGTGGAGGCAGAGTCGGGACTTGAAGTGAAGGTGATGGCGCGCCTCTTCCTCCCGAATATATGCCTGCATCTATGTGCCACTGCAGGGGTCATCGACAAGATATGGCAGACCTTCGAGCAAGCCGTCGCAAGCATGATAGTAGGCTCGGAGAAATCCGAAGTGTTCAAGTGTCCCTTCTGCGAAACTGACCACCAAGTGCACGTGAAGAAGACCGCGGGGAATCGGGCAAGGATCGTTCTGAATGTTTGGAGAAACTACGGACGACGATACGGGAACAGGCTGTCGACTGAGCAGATCTTTCATCGAGACCCAGCGTTGCGGCTTGATACCGATACAGTCTCGCAGAGGGATGTGCGAGCGGCCTTTGAGTCTAAAACGGAGTGTATTCCAAGTATGGAGACATAGTCATGCCTAGAAGTTATACAGTTTATCTGCACCATCGATCAAATTGTGCCTTGTGCCAGCCCATTAGACTCGACCGGCATCGTCATATCAAAGATAACAGGGGACTTGGACACGACGGGAGACTGAAAGGGGCACACGGCGTCTATATACTTCTGTCATCCTTCCTAATGTAGTAATGAATGTGCTCTTGTGCCCTGCCGCTCAGTCCTCTGTACAGATCACCCGGATTGCACAGGATCAAACAGATCAGTCACGTGATCGTTACTTCGACCACGCATTTCCCGGAAGTCCCTTGCCGGGGATTGACTCGCCTGCGGCCTGCCGGCCCCGGCACTCCTTCCCCTGAGCCCGAACTGGCTCCTGCGGATTAGCATCGGGCCAGCCCCCCCTGGGGCTCGCGCGGTGCTCGGGCGTGCTCCCCCGGGGCTCCCCCGTGCTCTGCCGTCGCTCCCTCGACGCTCTCCCGTGCTCGGCCGGGCGCTCCCCATGCTCTGTCACGTGCCTGATTAAAGCGGCCTGGCTCCCTTTCCTGAACGAAAATGGCAATGGACGAAGCACGGTTCGGGGCATATATAATATATATATATATCCCCGGAACCCACGAAGGTCATCTCCTTGGCTTGACCAGTTATCCTACCGATAATGCCACCGTTGTCACACCTAGCACTGAGCTCCGCATGACCTTCTGTCAAGACAAGAAGGCTGAGGGAAATGCCGAACTGGAGAAAGAGAATGGAGAACACACAAACGATGACAGTTCCGAAGCCGAACAGGAAGAGGCGGAAGGTCATGAGGAGTCTCAGCAGATTATTGAGACAGCCACCACCACCCCAGGCGTTCCTGAACCTGCTGCTACCTTGCAATCAGCCTCTCCCGAATCTGACCAAGCCCTTTCTGCTGAAGCCAGCAGCGACTCTACTGCTCCTGCGCAACCAATCTCTGAACACACCCAAACTTCTGCCGACCATCCCACCATTCAGCCTATTCCCGTCCAGACTCTTGGGCTCAGTTTCCAGGCATCCGTGACAAGGTCCCCAACCCCGAGCAGTGTATGCAATTGAACACACAACAAGCTCAGGGTATGGCAGCAGCAGCTGACGCTAAGGGAGGTATCCTCTTGCTTGAAGGCGCTCCTGGAGTAGGCAAAAGCCATTTCGACTGCCAATTCCTCAAACCTTTCCTCACCGTCGACAAACCCGGTCCAATCCTTCTGACCGCAAGCAGTAACCGAGCTGTCGAAGTGCTCCTGAAGAATGCATGGACGGCAGACAAGCAGTTGGTTGATCAAGGCAAAACAAAGTCTGGGAAATGTTTCCTTTGCCTCCACTCCACTACCTTCGAGAAAAGCATCCGATCTCGCCACATCCGCACAGCTATGGAGAAGGATCCCAACGCTCGTCCTGATATTGAAGAGCGACCTCGACACAATCATCCGCCGACTGTTTGACAGCACGCGTACTCAAACCTTCCCTGGTATCTTCGATCGACGCGTCAAAGACCTTACCTTGGCCCTCGGTGAGGGCCTTTTGCGAGAGACTGCCATCACGCCTGACCCTATCTACACTCGTGCAGACGCTGAGCTTGAATGAGCCGACTTCCGCATGCAATTCAAGCGTTACTACGGCACTGGAGACATGACGGTTGATGAGAGAAAGGAATACGCCACTCGAGAGCGCGAAATACTTACACAGATCCTATCCGGTGCTGATGTCAGCGCATGCAAAGGCTATATGGCCGGCTCGAAGCTCGTCGAAGACGCCCTCGCAGCGAAGCATATCGGTGTCGTCATGGATGAGGTTAACCATGAACATCTTATCAACTATATATAGATATTTTCTAACTTCCAGCGCCTGAAATACGCTTCGCAATCCTCAGCGGCGACTAGAAGCGGGTCCCCCCCCCCCCAAACAGCTGTTCACCTCCAGAGACGTTACGTTCATCAATGAACTATCCATGACCCCACCAGCGCGAAACTGGAACGATGAGCCCTCCACCGAGCAAGACGCATCCAACAACGACTGGAACGCTCAATCCTCTGCCGAAACTGCTGCCGACCAACCCTCCGAGCAATCATGGGATGTGGCATCAACTTCATGAGACTCGTCGGCTGATCCTGCAAATGACGCCGCATGGGGCACGAGCGCCGACAACGAAAGCGCATGGTGATTGACATCAACTGAACAAGGTATGGCTCCGAACATCTCACATGAAATCGAGTCACAAACTTGCTCTTCAGACAGACAGAGCCGATCTCAACAAACCAAACCCTGCCATTGCGGCAACCTTCTTTTTCCTTTGTTGTGGGCTGGTGCTGGATCCATTTGTTTGACGTCTTGCAACAAACGCTGTCGAGGTGCACATGTCAGACATGATCTCTGCCCTCTGCCTCCTGCCTCCTGGTCTGCGAGTGTTGACTGGGACTGCGTTCTCCCTCTGCGCTGCCTGCGCTGGACTGCCCTTGAATGTGTTTGATGGCCAATTTTTTGACTTTGCGGCCTAAGCACCAACTTTCTTTTTCATCTTTGGTCCAACTGTCCACCGAAAAGTCACGTTTTTTGCTCCTTGAGCGTGAAACTTTTTGGCATTTTGTCCCCAACACCACCTTTTCGACTTTTGGTCCAAACCCGCTTTTCTTCGAGTGTGTTGGGACAGCTTTTTTCCACTGTCGATCCCAAACACTGACTTTTCTTGCTCCTCGAGCGGGTTTGATGACCAAAGTTTTCGACATGTGCAACTTTTGGGCTTTGACTGTTTGGCTTTTGGGAAAAGGTCGCACACAGCCTGAGTTGCATAACTTGGACTCACACCCTCCATGATTTGACACACACACACACACACACACACACACACACACACTTGCTACCTTGTTGAAGCATCTCGTGTATCTCCATCTCGTCGTTCTTGCTTGCGTATCTTGCATCCCGGGTGTCTTCGCGCGTCATACTCGCGAGTCTAGGCAAATGTCCAACAACATCGGCGGTAACGACGCCAGCAGCAACAACACCAACAGCGACGACACCAGCCGCAACAACACCGACAGCAACAACAACAGCAACAACGCCAGTAACAACACCTACAGCAGCAACATCAACAGCGACGACTCCAGCGGTACCGATATCAGCGGTATCATTAGCACTAGCCGCGCCGACAACATCAACACCGTCACCACCATCCTCACCATCGCCGCCGTCACTACCATCACCAACGTCATCACCATCACCGTCGTCTCCACCATCACCATCGTCACCGTCGTCACCACCGTCACCCCCGTCACCATCACCACCACCATCCAGCCCATCTCCAGGTTCAGATTCCATCGTCTCACTCGCTCAGGGCATTTATAGCCGCATTCCGGGACTCTTATCATGAATGCAGTCCTGGGGACGCCTTGAGTATGGTCTAAGCCTGGTTGGCAGCCTCCTCCGTCCTGCAAGATTCTAACATCTTGTCCTTGCAGTCCTCCGTCCTGCCAAATCCTAGCGTCTTGCCTCTTGGAGTCCTTTAGCCGACGCTGGCAGCGTTGGCACCCTCTTCTGCTTTGTCCCCGACGTGGACCAGGATGGCCATCAGAACGTTGTGGCACAGGTCGAGCCGCTACTCGAGTCCCGCAACTTTTGGGGGAAAAGAGGCTGCTGTACCAAAGCCCGCCGAGAAATGGTCAACAGGCGAGGGTGCCAACGCTGCCAGCATCGGCTAAAGGACTCCAAGAGAGCAAGATGGCAAGAGAACAAGAGTGTGCAAGTTTGGGGATTTTCGAGTTTGGAGATTTGCAAGGGGTTTGCAGCAAGTGAGCAAAAGTGTTCACGATTGGAGGTTTGCAAGTTTGGAGATTTACAAGTTTGGGGATTTGCATGTGAGCATGCGCCGCGGGTGGGTGCAAACGCTCCCAAGGGACAAAAGTTCGACGCCCACAGCCACACCCAAGTCCACTGAATTCAATTCCGATAAAACAAAAAATGGCATGGTGCAGTGGGTGAGTGAGCGAGTCTGAGAAAAAGGTTCCAGTTCTGCGAGGGCGCTGCTGAGAGCTGAGTGTCAGGGGAAAGGTTTGAATTCTGAAAGTCTTCTCCGGCGTACATAGTGCTGGGTGCCAGAGTGTCGAGAACAAAGGTCAAATTCTGGGCACGCCTGTCGAGTGAGAAAAAGTTTCAAGTTCAGGGAGTGCCTGAGGGCCCAAAGTGCCCCAAGTCGAATTTCCGGGGGTGCTCTTCTTGCCTGCGAGCGCCCAAAGTTCAAAATCCCAAGAGTGCCTATTGAGCGCCCTTCTCCCTCTGCACCGACCGCGCTGGCCTGCCCTCGAGTGTGTTTGATTGCCAAAGTTTGGGGGTTTTGCAACTTTGGGACTTGTGCACTTTGACCACTGTTGGGCTTTTGGTCCCAAACACCACTTGCGACCCCGCGCACGCTGTTCGTTCCAGACGGGGCCAGCTTCCTCGAGAACGTCACGCTGTGGAGGCTCCTCGCCACTGTGCCAGTTCAAGCGACTGCAATCCCTTGTTGGCGTATGCTGACTTGATTGCACCGTCCCTTGTTGGCGTATGCTGACTTG